CAACCTTCTGTTCAGTTCAGTTCAGTTGCTCAGTCATGTCCAACTCTTTGAGACTCCATGGACTGCAGAACGCCAGGCCTCCCTGTCCATCACCACTCCCAGAGTTTAATCAAACTCATGTCCATTGAATCAGTGATGCCATCCAACCATCTCATCCTCTGTCGTCCCCTTCTCTTCCTGCCTTCAATCTTTCCCACCATCAGGGTCTTTTCAAATGAGTCAGCTCTTCACATCAGGTGGCCAAAGTATTGCAGTTTCCGCTTCAACATCGTCCTTCCAATGAACACCCAGGACTGATCTCCTTCAGGATGGACTGGCTGGATCTCCTCACAGTCCAAGGGACTCTCAAGAGTCTTCTCCAACATCACAGTTCAAAAGCATCAATTCCTCAGTGCTCAGCTTTCATTATAGTCCAAGTCTCATATCCATACATGACCACTGAAAAAACCATAGCCTTGTAACCTTCTGAAGTATATTTAAAAATTGATTCCTTGGAAAAGATGCTGCAACAGGAAGCATCCTAACCATCTGATGGAGAAGCGGCTATGAGAACAGCTGTCATATCGCTGATAATAAATGCGAGGGACACGCGTCTGAGAGCAAGTCTGGGGGCACAAAAACCACCAAAGTCGAAAGCCCTCACAGGGACGCCTGCTCTCAGGAAGAAACCCTCCAGTTCTGAAGCCACCCTCAGGCCACTATGAGTCTGGGAAAATGTCCCACAGTAAGATGCTCTTCGCGATACAGGAGAGAACTAGGGTTCAGGAGAGACCACGTGAAAGGAGTGCATGCAGAGGAACCCCTGTCCAGACCTTAAAGCTTTAATGTGCATCAGACCTGATATCAAAAGGAGGCTCCATGACTGCGAACACATGAGAACTGTCTCTGCAGGAGGTGCAAAGCCGAGCGTTAGAGAACTTGGGAGGGGGGGGGTGGCTTCCCTGGCGGCTCAAATGGTAAAGAATCTTCCTGCAATGCCGGAGACCTGGGTTCGCTCCCTGGGTGGGGAAGATCTCCTGGAGGAGGGCAGGGCAACCCACTCCACTATCCTTGCCTGGAGAATCCCCATGGGCAGAGGAGCCTGGCAGGCTATAGTCCATGGGGTCGCAAAGAGTCAGACAGGACCGAATAACCAAGCACAGAGAACTTGGGAAGGAGAGAAAACGACCATGAAATTTACAAAGTCTCCCACCACACGTCAATGCTCTCTCAAACATCAGAAAAGGAGAATTACAGGGAGGAGACCACTAACGGCATACCTGGGAGGTCCTCCTGCCACAGGCCGATCCTCACACCACGTCGGAGCACTCACACTCAGGGCCCCCCGGGTCCAGGAGCTGAGAGTCCATGGTCACGACAGGGGAGGCCAGGGTTCAGTCCCCGATGAGGGAACTAGATCCCATAGGCTGCAACTGAAAGTCCGCACACCACAGCTAAAGACTGAAGACCCTCCCTTGCTGCAGCTAAAACCCAGGGCAACCAGAAAAATACATGTCTTTTAAAAAGAGAGAAACCTTTAGAATGCAGTAAAGGTGGAAAAACCTTCTGCCAGAATATACACTTCAATGTACAGCAAATCACCATAGAGAAACCATATGAATGTGATACACGTGTGTAAGGCATATCTTACTAAATGTGAGATAATACACACGGGGGGGAAATCTTAGGATACGGAACGCGGGAGGTCTTGTCAGAGGTCAACCTTTACGTCAGAGAGCTCGCCACACCTGTAAACAACACAGGCCACCTTTCTTCCAGAATAATACCTGTTTGTACATCAGGTGACTGGTTAAGAAAAGAAAACCTCCCTTGTGAAGTCAAATCTCTAATTCAGAAACAAGGAATCAACACGAGGGAGAAAAGCTATGCAAATAATGAATCTGAGCATGCCTTTGGCAAGCTACATGTATTTATGTAGAAACACTATATAAACAAGAGCAGAGGAAGCCCTGCATCCAGAGAGAATCACTACTAACTCCCAGAGGACTCCTAAAGGAGAGAAACCCGAACGATGCAAAAAATGCGAGCAATCCTTCTGCCAGAAGACAGAAGTCTTTCTAGACTAGAAGGTTCAGAAGAAACACAGGAAAAAATACGTAGCGCAGGTCTCACCAAGAACTTACAACCTAAACTGAACAGGAAAGAAACAGTATTTGAGTGTTTTGACAGTGTGAAAAATTCTAAAAAGAAATTTAAAACCTGGGAAAATTTCATCAAGTTAGGGAGTAAAAAAAAATGAAGCAGTGAAGAGTGGGCTATGTCCTCAAAAATATCAATGCTGCAAAAAGGCAAAAAAAAAAAAAAAAGGCAAAAACACCTTCTCCTAGAGGCAATACTGTTCACAAAGTCGTGTTCAATATGTGATGCCAAAGTGAAAATGGAAGTGCGAGTCGCTCCGTCGTGTCCGACTCTCTGCGACGCCGCGGACTGCAGCCCGCCAGGCTCCTCTGTGCACGGCATTCTCTGGGCAGGAATCCTGCAGTGGGCTGCCATCTCCCCCTCCAGGGCCCTTCCTGACCCAGGAACTGAGCCCAAGCCCCCCCACTCACAGGCAGACGCTGCACTGTCTGAGCCACGACGGAAGCCCACGTGACACCAGACTTGTATCCAAAAACTAATCCACTAAACTCATCTGTATATCCACAATTTGTAAGTAAAAGACTTCTAAAAAGAAAGAAAAACCCAGTCAAAGGGACACAGGAGCCAACTCCAGGAGGCACTTGATGGCCAGTCTCCGCCAAGCTGAGCACTAACGATCGAGCGTGATGTGCTCCGTCGCTCCGTCGTGTCCGACTCTGCGACGCCATGGACTGCGGCCCGCCAGGCTCCTCTGTGCGTGGGATTCTCCGGGCAAGAATCCTGCAGTGGGCTGCCATCTCCCCCTCCAGGGCCCTTCCTGACCCAGGGGTCAAACCTGCCTCTCTTGCATCCCCTGCCTTGGCGGCAGATTCTTTACCACTAGCGCCAGCTGGGAAGTCCAATTAAGTATAGGAATGAATTATAAATCATTGAAAACATACAAATTCATGAGTCCATAGTGATAAAAGAGCTAGACTGATCAATCAAGAAGGCGGGAAGTCTCTTGCTTATAGTAAAAATGCCAGGGGCTAACTGAAGGAAGTCCTGAGATTAGAAAATCATTACTTTACAACCATATGGCAAAAACTGGATCAGACAAGAATCATAAATGGATAACAAATCCTGGGGGAGATGTTGATGAGAAGCACAACATTTGCAACATCAAACATGTCTCTCCACTGGCTGTTGATGAGTGGCAAGGGAAGAAAATATAAAGAGAAATAATACAATGGAGAAACCGGACAACACCTTGACCAGTGATGAAATTAACATCAGCTACAAGAGACAGGCAGACAGACATCTGATGTCTCAAGACGTGGTGCCCTGAGAAGGACAGGTCACCTGAACCGGATTCTGTCTGAGAACGCAACAGCTCAACCGAATGACAGACGAATGCCAGGCAAACACAAGCGGAGGGCTATTCCTAAAAAACAAAATAAAACAATGAGGAGTGGGCTATTTCCTCAAAAAAACCAATGTTGTAAGAAGGCAAACCAAAAAAGAAAAGTCTACAAAAATGTCCTGGCTTAAAAGAGGCTAAAGAGACATGATACCAAGAACTAACTCCTGTCCGAGATGAGGGAAGATGCTCTGAAGAACATAATTAGAGCAAGGGGCAGCACGGGAATCTAGCCGGTTGTCGTTCAGTCTCCATGTCCCGCCGGACTCCACTACACGGACGCTGAAGACAGGCGTCGGTGTGACCTCCCGACAAGTGTGCTGAGGTGAGGCAAGCTCCATGAGAAGAGGCAGAAAGTGCGGATGAGCGGCGAGATGGGGTAAAGTACGAACGGTAAGGGAATCTGGCAAAAGGGCACACAGCTATTCTCTGCACTAATTTTATTGTGCAACTTTTCATAAGCCTTAAATTATTTGCCCCCAAAAGTAATTGTTGAAGAGCCAATTCCGTGTACTGTGGCCCCTGCCTCCTCAAACAACAGGGTCATCTTTCTCCTCTGCCTTTTCCCTCTTCACTCAGGCACCCGGCTGAGCTGAGAAACAGCTTCATGTTCCAAACAAAGGCAAACGGCGCAAAGCAAAGGGCTCTTGATCCACAGCTGCTGGACCTACTGGAAGACTGACCTACACACACGGTCGCTTTCTCACTCTCTATTTGTCTTCAAACCCCTGCAGCCTGGCCTCTGTCCCCACCACGCGCTGACGCTGCTCTTGCTGACATCACCAGCGCCCCCGGGTGCCAGCTCCAGGGGTCCTCTTCAGTTCTTCTGCTACGTGACCTTCCAACGTGCTGGCCACACCTGCTCCTTGAAATATCCACTTCCGTTGGTTTTTGATCAAACACTTGACTTTCCTCTGGGCCCTCTGCCCCTCCTAAGTCTCCTCTGCATCTCTTCATCGCCCATCTGACTTCCAATGGTCATCATTCCCATGGCTCTCAGTCCACTCTCTCCCTCAGGGGTCTCATTCATTCCCGGCTTTAAAACCACCTGCACGCTGACGACTCCCAAACACCTCTGCAGCCTAGAGCTCTGCCCCGAATTCTAAACTCACACAGCCCAACTGCCTAGATGTCCTCGGGCAAAACCTTTCAGACTCAAAACTGAACTCTTGCTGTTTCCAGACCTTCAATCTTCTCCCCTAGTCTTTCCATTTCAGTAAGTACCGCTTCTGTTCACTCAGCTGCTCAGAAAACCCAGATCATCCGTGGGATGTTGAAATTAGAAGCAACGTTTTGTCTTTAGGCTGTTCAATGGTTGAAAATTCTCCCATAATAAACATACTTACGAATACATTGATTCATCAAAACTAAACGAACCAAATCTCTTCTTGTTTGGGGGGTAATGGGAAACAAAGCAAAGATCTGCTTTAACGTAACACTTTAGAGTTTCTATATTTGTTCTTCATTTTAGTTTCATGAGTGTCTAAATAAGGTAGGTAGTAAAAATTAACTTTCACATTACCAGAAGTGTTTGGATCTACTGACGACATCACAGAATCAGCTTCTATCTAGAAAAGAAAAAGAAAATAATAGAATATACAATTTCATCAAATGTTTTCACAGTACAAGTTCTTAATTCCTGGGATACAGGAAAGGAATGCAGATTATGAGAAACCATCTTTGTTGAATCCAGCAGACAAGTACTATCGCAGGACAGCTATCATAGTCATTTCACTGTTCTGTCAGTAAGACACCAGAAGCTAATCTGCTACAGACCCCAATGGCCCCCTGAACTTTAATCCATTGATCAAAACAGTTAAATCATAAAGTCAACTAGGCTGTCATATACACAACATACCCCATAAGGTAACCTTTCTGTCTTACACAAATACAAGCAATCATTATGATGGGTTCTTTGGCTTCACTTAAAATATTTTCTTCCTGACTGTAATAGTAACAATGTAGAAAACATGAAAAACATTTTTACATTATGAAGAGAAACAATGAAAAAACGGCCAGCCAGTGAAAACCACTGTCAACATTTCTGCCTAGTATACCTTTCTTTTTCCGGTGCGGTTTTTTTTTTAATTGAAGTACAGCTGTTTCCAAATGCTGTGTGAGTTTCTACAGCCCAGGGAACCAGTCACACGTACCCACACACCCCTTCTTTTTCGGATTTCCCTCCCATTCAGGTCGGCGCAGAGCACCCAGCAGAGTCCCGTGTGCGGCAGTCAGCTCTCATTAGCTATCTACTTTATACTGAAGTGTGTGTGCATCCATCCCAGTCCCTCATCCATCCAACCTCCTCCTTTCCTACCCACGTATTTTTAAACATATTCGTGAACACACTGTGTACTAAGTTTGGGGACCTGCCTTCACTAAGTATTAAGACACCAGAATTTTCCCACATTGCTGCAAGACCTTTACAAACATCTTGGAATTAGGATCTTGGCAACATGTGACATAACTTCTCCACCTTGGATTCCATGCCCTGCACTCTGCTGGTTCTTCCTGACCCTTCCAGATGACTAGCTCCCAGAGCGGCTTCCTCTTGGGGTCCCCGCCGACCTTTAAATGTGCAGACGCCCCCAGGCTCTCCCCTCGGGATGCCACCCTTCACGCTCTGCACACCCTTCCTGGTCAGTGCCACCCACTCGCACACCTGTGAGGAATCCCAAACCTATCTCCGCCCTCCCCTCGCCACCCGATTCAGATTCCTACACCTGAGGCAGGCAGCACAACCTGAGAGCAGATCGTTAGCACCATCATCGCCTCATCATCCAGCACGGGACTTAAAAAGTGAGTGCATAAGGCTGTATTTAACATGGATAATCAACAAGGACCTGCCGTAGAGCACGGGAACTCTGCTCAATGTCAGGTGGCAGCTGGATGGGAGGGGGCTTTGGGGGAGAATGGATACTCATATACATGTGGCCGAGTCCCTCCGCTGTTCATCTGAAACTGTCTGAACATCGTTGATCAGCTGTATCCCAATACAAAATAAAAGTGTAAAAAAAACAAAACAAAACAGTGAGTACACTTAGGGTGCCTGCATCTCCTCGGAATTAATGCACCACTCTCTGAACTCATTGCCCTTCCCCCAAACCTCCTCCTTCTGAACTTCCCTCTTTTCTCATCCTTTCAGTCCTGCATCGCTCTGGGACGTAGCTTCTTCCACCACCACGGGGCGCTCCCAGACACTTCCTATCAGTGGAGTCTTTGCCGCTGGTCTAAACAAGGCCCAACCTCCTACTGTAGGTACCACCAGAACTCCTTGCCGTCTTCTCTTCCTGTTCTCAATCTCTTGGCCTCAGGATTTATCAGAGTTTCATAAGCCTATCTAAACTAACTGCTTCAACGTGTGTGTGCTCAGTCACTCAGCTGCGTCTGCCTCTTCGTGGCCCTGTGGACGGCAGCCTGGCAGGCTCCTCTGTCCGTGGAACTTTCCAGGCAAGAATGCTGGAGTGGGTTGCCATTTCCTATTCCAAGGGATCTTCCTGACCCAGGGATCGAACCCACGTCTCCTGTGTCTCCAGGACTGGCAGGTGAATTCTTTACCACTGATGCCCCCTGGGAAGCCCTGCTTCAAAGTAGCGTCTGTGTTTTATTCATCTTTGTATTTCTAGCAGCTTGGAAGTGCTCCTCTTACTACATGAGAATACAATAAATTTCATTCTGTAAACATTTTCATGAGTGCAGAGTGATTTATTATATAAAAGTGACTTACAGCTTCAGGACCTGCATTCAGGAGTTATTTCATTTGCTCAAAAGCAATATTTAAAAACAAAACCCTAAACCTCAACCTAATGTAAGAGTAAAAACCTGTTAGATTTCAGAGGGAATATATTGTCACTTAATAAATGTTCATGATGGTTACAAATGATTCTTAAGTGTATTGGTGATTTGTTATATCAGTATTTTACTGTTTAGCAGTCTGTAGTCAACAAGCATTTGATTAAAAAGTAAACTCCAAAACCTCAACCGAAAGTAAAAACCCATTGAATTTGATGGTGTGTAGTATGTATGTTACCCTATCACGGTACATGTCATTAAATTCTTCACTTATGCCCTAAAATTGAAACCGAGTGAGTAGATCCAAAAGTAATAAAGGCAGAATGAGACGAGGTGTCTTTCCAGCTGAACCTGGGTTAAACGCAGTGCTTTGCAGGCTGGGTCCACGCAGCTGACCTGCTCTGGAATTCCAGCTAAAATGACCGCAGGTTAACAGGAGAGCTGCAGCCTCCGGGAGGTAGCCTGACTAGCCCTGAGGACTTCTCTGAGCTCCACAATCAACCTCTCAGTAACTAAGCAGCCCCCTGGCAGTTGAACCGCTCAGAACCTACCTGAGCTGTTCATGGGACACAGTTATATCAACAGAACACAGTAACAGTGAAGGTGTGATACACTTAAGCATGATGGAGAAGCAGATGCTATGTGATCCCTGGCTTCTCGGGGTTTGTAATCGGAGACAAGTAGAGCTCAATCATAAGGCAGAGCTGAGCCCAAGCGGCCGCCGAGTCCCTTGGTCTAAGGAGGGCAGGAGCGAGAGCATTCCAGAGACAGCCCCTAGTGCTCCCTCGGGTTGATGCCTGCCACTGAGTCTCTTACACCTGGCCAAGACCTCGCCTTTGATTTGTTCAGCAGCTTAACAAGAGGGACCTGGGACTAGAATGGATGTGACAGACAAGGGGACCACGCAGGATAGGGAGCCCCAGGAAACCTGTCCTACGGAAGCAGGGGGCTCACTGGAGACCAGCTCAGCTCTCCTTAACTAGTGCAACCTTTTCTGGAGAAGCAATGCCCAATAAAATTTCAAGTGTACCTAGCACTTGTACTTCTAGGAATTAATTCCACAGAGATGCATTCACAAACAGAGATATAGTTATAAAAGAATGCTCACTGTAGCAATATTAGCAGGAATGAAAAATAATGGAAACAACTGAAATGACCAAAACAAGAAAACTAGCTAAAGAGACTAGGCAGCTACTTTTTAAAAAAAATGTAGTGTGTGTGCTTTTATGTTCTTCTACTGTCAAGTCAAAAAAAGCAAGTTCAAATAAAATAGGCGCACTATGCACCTACCTACGCTTTCAATAGAATGCCAGGCAAGTTTGTCATGCATAAGAAATTTGGGATGATACTCAAGAATGGTTAATAATGGTAACTCCTGAGGAATAGGGAGGGAAAAGATTTACATCCAACTTCATATTTTTCTGGTCTGTTTTACATTTTTGACTATATAAATGCATTTTTCTCATAATTTAAATGGGGAAAATTTTTTTTTTTTTTTTTAGTTTAAGGAAAAAAAAAAAAATCCTGCACGTCCCTTCCTCTGTGAATTCCTCCTGTTACCAACATCCCCCTCCCAGGCTTCTGTCTTGAAACCATGCTAGTATCTCACATTTAACATAATTATTAGAAGCCTTGTGCTAATTTAGTCTTGATAGATTCTAATTCACCCCTTATTTGGGTTCTTAAGAAGAAAGTAAAATTCAGCACTGGACACATCCCTAAAATTGCTCAAAAGGCAACGGTTTGTTTTATAAACATCCTAAGCTAGCCCTCTAGCTTTATTTTAGCTAGCCCTTCTACTTTACTTAGAATCCATCCACTACTGTATTGGGCTTCCCTCATAGATCAGTTGGCAAAGAATCTGCCTGCAATGCAGGAGACCCTGGTTCAATCCCTGGGTCGGGAAGATCCCCTGGAGAAGGGAATGGCAACCCATTCCAGTATTCTTGCCTGGAGAATGTCATGGATAGAGGAGCCTGGCAGGCTACATCCATGGGGTTGCATGAGTCGGACATGACTTAGTGATTAAACCACCACCACTACTGTATTCTCTGCCCTGTCCCCAAATACAAAAGAAAGTTCTACCTTGGATGGCTTGTAACCAAACAGCATTACAACAGCAACTTTAAAGTCCTCTCTGCTTAGATAGCCTTTGTTATCTTCATCGCATGCTTTAAATACCTAAAGAACATTAAGTATCTTCAGTTAATAAAACAGAAACCATTTGTTCTACTATTTTTATTACTAACATATTAAGTTTACACCTCTCAAATTTAAAACTTAGCTGAAAAGCTGGGCTGAGAAGTGAGTTTCATTATCCTAATTTTAATTCTCAAAACACCTTAATGATGTGCTAAAATTTACTACCCCCTCCAAAAAAGTGCAAATGATTTATCGGTAGGTTAATTCTTTTAAACCATCGGGATAAATTCTACCCAAAATTCAACGCTAAAATGAGGAAGGTGAGGCAACGGGGACGGCTTTGAAAGGCGGGAGGACAGGTGCAGGTTACAGCTTATTATAAAGAGACTCTGTCGCAGAGAGCAGAAGGAGGTTAGAAGTAGGCAGAACACTAGACGGGGATCCAGAAGCTTGGAAGCCCCAGGCTGGGTCATTAGCCATCACACCTCGGGGCTGAAGGAGACCCGGGCGAGGGGATGGCGTAAGCGCCCCGGGTCAAGCCGAAGTCCGAGACCCAGCCCTCCGGACACCTACTTCCACCCACTTCTTGTGCTCTGAGGGACTGGCTTCCCACGTTCGTGGCCGGGCGCCGGCCTGGGAGTAAAACATCGCGACAGCCGCGCGCAAGTCCAAACAGCAGAACCCGCAAGGTCTGCGGCCAAATCCCCCGGGCCGGGACCGCCAGCCCCGCTCGGCGCAGTCCCGGAAGCTGAGCTTCGCAGGGCACCTCCAAAGTCTCCTCTCATTGGACGACCTGCGAGCCACCGGCGTTGATCCCGCAGCTCTATTGGCCAGAGGCTTTGTTTAGCAACGTTTCCTTGGAACAGCCTATGGCAAAGAGGCCCTCAGGCCCGCCCCCAGTCCTGGCTCCGCCCCCTAGTTTTATTAACTCTTGGAACAGCCTAAAAGAGAAGTCATGGGTGTTCATTGGAAGGACTGATGTTGAAGCTGAAACTTTGGCAACCTGATGCGAAGAGCTGACTCATTTGAAAAGATCCTGACGTTGGGAAAGATTGAGGGCAGGAGGAGAAGGGGACGACAGAGGATGAGATGGTTGGATGGCATCACCGACTCAATGAACATGGGTTTGGGTGGACTCCGGGAGTTGGTGATGGACAGGGAGGCCTGGAGTGCTGCAGTCCATGGGTTCAGAAAGAGTCGGATACGACTGAGCGACTGAACTGAACTGGAACAGCCTACAGCAGAGAGGCCCTCAGGCCTGCCCCCCAGCCCTGGCTCCGCCCCTCTAGTTTCTCCCTACAGCTGAGACACGTGCTCGCCCAGGCGCTGTTTCACTGTGTCCTGCGTGATTCTTTTCATTTCCTGTTCCCACACCTTGCAGCGTTTACTTTTGATAATTTCGATCAATGACACTATGCTAGGCATCATAAGATACACAAAAAGAGTGTGAACAAAGCATAAAAGGAGCCTAGCACTAAGCCCTGTGCCTGGTACAAATCAGACGTTCAATAAACCAGTGAGCCCTTAGAACGTTTCCATCAAGTTATTTCATCCAGCTTTCTGGGAGGGGTGGAAATTCCAAGACCGGCATCAAGAGCACTGAGTTCAAACTCCATGGCAAATTCCTTACTAAATGCAAGGGATAGGGCGAGGGTTCCATTTTGCAAGAGTTTTTCTCAGACCCCTCTCCTGGCAAATCAGGAAGATTAATAAGGCAACACACACACCTGCTTTAACAAAGAAACCAATATTCGAGGTAGAGTCTGAGGGAGCTCATTTAGCCTTTCGTCTTACAACAGGGTTTACAGTCTGTGCCCCAGGAGAAGCCGGAACACTGGTCTCAGGCTTCAGCTTCCTCTAACCCCTCAGCTGATCCTCTCCCTTTGAAAAGAAACCCTCCTGCCTCGAGCTCCGGGAGCCTGAAATTAGGAGATTCCCCCTAATCTCCTGAAGAGGATGTGTTTTGCTGATCAGCTACGAGGAAAGAGGGAAACTTTTCCTCCTCTCTCCTGCTTTTGTCGGCCGGGGCCAGGCGGCGAGAGGACAGGTAAAGGCGGACGGGACTCCTTCCTGGAGGGGTCCGCGGCGGTCCCCGGGTCACCCGGCGGGCTTTAGGACCCAGCGGCACGCGTCCCGGAAGGGGCAGGGGCGGGGCCACGCGGCGCGCGCCGGGCGGGCGGGTTTGAATCGCGCGCATGCGCGAGCTCGGAGGACGGAGCGGGGTCTCGGGCGGACGCGCGCTCCTGGACTTTGGGCACTAAACCTGTGGAGGCCGCGGCGGGAGCGCTGCGCCTCCTCTCATCCCGGCCCGGTGCGCGGGAAGCCCGGGTCCGGCGGGTCCTCATGGGCCAGCGGGCTTGGAGGCGGGTCCGGAGGGCAGCGGAGCGCCCAGGTAGGGCCCTCCTGGGCCTCGGCGGCCTCTTCTGAGGGGACCGGAGTCCGCCGGGAGCTCTCCTCCCTGGGTTCTTACTCTGGCCTCTCGGTGGGCGGGCGGGCGGCTTCGGCCGTCCGCGAGCGCGCCGGCGCTCACTCTGTGCTGTTCCCGGCCAGAGGGAGCTGTCGTGCTGCTTCCAGAGGTGAGACTTGCGAGCGTGAGGTGAGGGGGCGCACGGCAGAGCTGTGCCCGGCCCGAGGCAAACGCAGAGGAAAGTTAGCGGCTCTTCTTTCTTTTTCCGTGTACCTCCGCCTCCGCGCCCTTCGCTGCCTCCCCTCCGCCTTCTCCAGCCCCCAGGGCCCCCGCAGGAGCCGTCTCCTTCCACTTCTGTCCCCTTCTAAACCATTCTCCGGACAGAGCTGTTGTTGTTCAGTCTCTCGAGCGTGTCCATCTCTTTGCGACCCCATGGACAGCAGCAGCCAGTCTCCTCTGTCCATCACCAACTCCCCGAGTTTGCTCAAATCAGGTCCATTGAGTCAGTGATACCGTCCAACCATCTCATCCTCTGTCGTCCCCTGCTCCTGCCAGAGGATGTTGAAACAGAGGTGTAGAGAGCCGAATATTTTTTTTTGGGGGGGGGGGGCGAATATTTTAAAAGTAAATCGGGCAAGGTACTCCCCTTCGGTGTAGCCCTACTGCTCTTATAGTAAAATCCAGAATCTGTAACTTAACTCCTTATTCCTGCCCTCCGCCTTCACCTTGGACATCTCCCTGTCTCCCTTACCCAGGTCCGGGTCTGTTTTCTGGAGTTACTGCAGCCTTCTGGCCTGGCCTTTGCAGGTTGGGTTCTTTCACTTGGAATACTTTTCTTTCCCACCTCCACTTTATTTGGCTATTTCCTTTTCTTCTTTCGGCGCTCAGTTAAACGTTAAATTCAGGATATTATAAGGTAAAGGCATCTGTGTTACTTTCTCATACCTATGAAGTATAATGAATATTTGTAAAGATATCTTGGTGGTCTTGGCTCTTTTTGTTCCTGTCTGTTTCTTTCTCCCTCAAGTATAACCTTTCCTAAGGCGGAAGCTGTTTCTATGCTCTTCATTTCTTATTCCCAGAGCTAGGCACATAGTCACTGCTCAATAAACATTTTCTGGACAAGCAAACTCTGGGAGGTAGATCTGATACCCATTTTCAGAGGAGAAAACTGAGGCTGCGCAGTTATGTAACCAGCCCAAGTGCATATTTACCACCTAGTAATGACTGGATTTTATATTGGAGTCCATATTTGCCCACTACTGGCCGCACCTGGCCTCAGTTGAAATTGATTCCCATGCCCTCCTGATGGTTTGCAAGCTCTATGAGAAGCAGCTGGAAGTGTAAAACAAATAGCTCAGCTGGGACTGGGATGGTAAGGGGAGAGCAGGAGCTAGCAGCTTTAAGAGGAGTATACATTCGCATTCACAAATTTTTTTTTAGTATCGAATAGACACTGATGTTATGAGTTGGCATTTGGTGGTAGAGTTTCTTTAGATTTCTACCCTCCTTGGCATGGTAGCTTAATGCGGTGTTTGCCGAATTTCATTAATGTGGTTGGTTCAGTTCAGTTCAGTCGCTCAGTTGTGTCCCACGCTTTGCGACCCCATGAATCGCAGCACGCCAGGCCTCCCTGTCCATCACCAACTCCCGGAGTCCACTCAGACGCATGTCCATCGAGTCGGTGATGCCATCCAGCCATCTCATCCTCTGTCGTCCCCTTCTCCTGCCCCCAATCCCTCCTAGCATCAGGGTCTTTTCCAGTGAGTCAGCTCTTCGCATGAGGTGGCCAAAGTATTGGAGTTTCAGCTTCAGCATCAGTCGTTGGTTACTTCCCCAGTTTTGTCTTACTCTCAACAGCTATGGTCTTGGATAAGGCAATGGCAACCCACTCCAGTGTTCTTGCCTGGAGAATCCCAGGGACGGGGGAGCCTGGTGGGCTGCCATCTATGGGGTCGCACAGAGTTGGCCACAACTGAGGCGACTTAGCAGCAACAGCTATACCTCTATTTGCTTAATGTTTTTATTTGAACCCACTTTTACATAAAAACTGTCTTTAAGAAGTAAACTTTAGTTACTGTAAATGTCATGGAGCCATTAGATACCTCCTGCTCACATTAAACCAAAGTGTTACTGGTGCCTGCAGAAGAACCCAAAGCCCATTGTTTGTTCAAAAGCAGGATTAAAGGCATTTCTACAAACAGCCTTCTCCTTGATTAAGCTGAGGGATTGGATAGGAATGGAAAAGAGAGGTAGTTTCATAATGAGATGTTAATGTCAGGTCCCAGTCATCTCCACTTTGGTAAACACTGTACTTTGATGACCCAAATGGTAAATATCAGATCTTAGAATCAGCGCACGTGGATTGTAATTCTGATTCTACTGCCATCCCTTACCCAGAGAGTGATGTTAGACCTGTTCTGTGCCAGACACCACCCAGGCATTTATCAAGATCCAGGTGGAAAGACGAGAAGGTGAGCGGGGTTTCTGCTGTCACTTTATTTGCCAGGTTCTCATGGCAGATTCTGCTCATGTGCCCTGAACACTCACACAGCAGCTGATGTTAGCGAAAACAGCTCAGCATCTGCTAAGGTCAGGTGTGCTATATGTGTGTCCTAATAGCTCAGGACACGGAATTTGAGAGCAAGAGAATGAGTTTGCCAGTGTCTGTGCGACTCTATGGACTGTAGCCTGCCAGTCTCCTCTGTCCGTGGAATTCTCCAGGGGAGAATACTGCAGTGGGTTGCCCTGCCCTCCTCCAGGGGATCTTCCCGACCCAGGGATCGAATCCCACTTTTTTTTGTCTCTTATGTCTCCTGCATTGCCAGCCGTGTTCTTTACCATTAGTGCCACCTGGAAACTGGTGAATGGGAGATAACAAGATTTTTGCCTTTCTTTTCCAGAAGCATGACGTCCCAGGAAGGCAATTATGGGAAGTGGACGATATCCAGTAGTGATGAAAGTGAGGAGGAGAAGCCACAGCTGGACAAGCCATCTGCCTCTCTCCTCCCCCACACCAGGCAGGGGGCCACTGGGCAGCCGCAGTACACCTGCTCCGAGGCTCGGAAAGCCGCCCACAGGAGGAAGCTGGAGCCCGTGAAATTCAGCACCACAGACTCAGTTTCAGAAGCTTCACCTTGCAAAAGACAGAAGAGCGGTTCCCAGGAGGACCTCGGCTGGTGTCTGTCCAGCAGTGAGGATGAACTGCCTCGAGAGCTGCAGCAGGAGCAGTCGAAGGCCTCGAAGGTCAAAGAGGAGAAAGGCCCCCCTTCTCCCAGGGACCATGCAGCTCGGGGAGCTGGGCCTCACAGCCCCCCGACCAGCCATGGGC